GGAAATTTGTCTACTCTGCCCCCGGCCCCTGGCCGACCCCCACCCTCCACCCCAGCTGGGGTTGTCATCAGAGAGGTCCCATGGGATGTGGGCCTGGCTGCAGGACCGGGAGCCCTGGAAGATTCTTTGGCTCAGGGAGGAGAGTAGGGTCCTGCAGCCACTCTCCCCACCCCCACCACAGAGCCCCTGCGAAGCCACGGGGCCACCAGCATCTGCCGGGCGTGAGGGCCACAAGCCCGCCTTTGTCAGCGCTGCCCCTGGCGTGGGGCTGTGCCAGGAGGGGCTGGCCCGCATTCTGCCTGCAGCTGGGCAAGCCCCTGAGAGCCTGCCCCCGGGCCGCTGGCCACATCCTGCGCTGGCAGAGATGCAGGCCCCGGGGAGGCAGCTGCTTCAGGGTCACCCTGCGTCAGGCCCCCGGCTGAAGGGCGTTCTGATCTGCAGGTTTGGGTGGCAGGTGAGGGTTTCCAACCAGGGCCCCAGGGACGGCACTTGCACCCACTGTCATGCGGGCCCAGGTGGAGAAGTGAGACGTGATTTCTGTTTTCTGAACCATCTGTGTGATCATGTTATAAGTAGCAAAGTTACTTATTCAAACTTTTTAAAAAAGAAATACTTCAAAAGTGACTCCAGTGTGCTAGTGCAGTCCTCTGGCGAGATGTCAGCTCCCATGATCTACATGTCGTAATCTATTGGCTTTTTTTTTTTTTAAGATGTATTTATTTGAAAGGCAGGGGATGGCCAGCGCCACGGCTCACTTGGCTAATCCTCCGCCTGCAGTGCTGGCACCCTGTGTTCTAGTCCCGGTTGGGGCGCTGGATTCTGTCCTGGTTGCTCCTCTTCCAGTCCAGCTCTCTGCCGTGGCCTGGGAGTGCAGTGGAGATGGCCCAAGTGCTTGGGCCCTGCACCTGCATGGGAGACCAGGAGAAGCACCTGGCTCCTGGCTTCGGATCGGTCAGCGTGCTGGCCGTAGCGGCCATTTGGGGGGTGAACCAATGGAAAGGAAGACCTTTCTCTCTCTCTGTCTCTCTCTCTGTCTAAATCTGCCTGTTCAAAAAAAAAAAAAAAAAAAGCAGGGTATGGGGGGTGGGGGTGGGGGTGAGGGGTGATCTTCCATCCAGTAGTTCATTCCCCAAATGGCCGCCATGGCTGGGGCTGGGTCAGGTGTCAAAGCCAGGAACCTGGACCTCCATCTGGGTCTCCCGCGTGGATTGCAGGGACCCAAGTATGTGAACCATCTTCCACTACTTTCCCAGGTGCATTAGCAAGGATCTGGATTGGAAGTGGAGCAACTAGGACTCGAACCGGCACTCACAAGGGACTCTGGCATTTCAGGCAGCAGCTTAACCCGCTGTGCCACAGCTTGGGCCCCGTCCTCCATCTGTGACTGTAACCCAGCTTCAGGAGTTTGCGCTTCCACATAGCTCATCCTGAGCTTGGGGTCCACTCAGACCCCCGCATCGTCCGTATCCCCAGACCCCATCAGTTTAACTGCAGAGAGAAGCGAGGTGCTTACACACAGGCCCTCGTGGAGGCCGGCTTAGCTCGGATTTAGCCGTCTGGCTTGTGTTTCCTGAGTGCTGCTTCCTTAATCCGCCAGCTGAAATGCACGTGGACCCCTCACTTCCTCATTTCTCTTAACTGCTGTGATCATCGACCGTTCCACTTCCTCCTCCTCCACTCTGCCCCTCGGCAGGGTGGTGGGCAGCGGGTCTGTGTGCGTAGGACAGTGGGGTCCCACAGCTGCTGCAGCGGGTGCTGGGGACAGACCCCAGGAGACAGGCTGTGGGGCCAGTGGGGACCGAGGCCTTCTGTGGGCAGTGGGGAAGCAGGCGCCTGTCGCACCTGGAGCTGGGAGCTGGCTGCCAGGAGGCTGCAGGGGTCAGGGATGTGAAGGCCATGGTCGGCTCCCGCTGCCGCCTGCTGGTCTGCAGCACCGCTCCTCACCGCCTGAACCTCAAGACCCACCTGGGCCCCGAGGGCTGCTGGACAAGCCCAGGCCCTTCCCCTTGCCCTTGGCGAGCCGTCCTGCCAAGCTGACCTATGGCACAGGGGGCGGGCAGGTGTGAAGCAAGAAGCCCCCTGGTGGGGCGGGCACTGCCCTTGCCTCTCCCTGGCCCGCGGCTCCCACTGTCCTTGGGGAGTCCAGCTCCCCAGAGCCTCTCTCCTCCCCGGGACCTGCACGGCTTGTTTCTTCTGCGCCCGGGCCCCAGCTCCCTGCTTCCGAAAGCATCACCCTTGGGTGGTGCCCAGATGCACGGCGTTGGTCACTCAGCCTTGTGACTCAGTTTCTCTTCCTAGTGTCATCTTTTTTTGTTTGTTTTTAAAAGATTTTTTTATTCATTTACTTGAAAGGCAGATAGTTACAGAGAGACAGAGAGAGAGAGAGAGAGGTCTTCCATCCTCTGGTTCACTCCCTAAGTGGCCACAATGGCCAGAACTGGACCTATCCAAAGCCAGGAGCCAGGACCTTCTTCCAGGTCTCCCGTGCAGGTGCAGGGGTCTAAACACTTGGACATCTTCTGCTGCCTTCCCAGGCACATTAGCAGGGAGCTGGATCGGAAGTAGAGCAGTCAGGATTCGAATAGCCACTTCTGCATGGGATGCTGGTGTTACGGGCAGCGCCACAATGCCAGCCCCATGTGTGCAATGTTTCCAGGCTGTGCTGGCACCCTGAGAGCAGGTGTTATTACTCCCGTTGTGACTGCACATCTGTCGGGAGGCGTGGTCGTTACACATCGCGTCTGCTGGTCGCGCTGCTCACGCCTTGCACTTAGTGCCTAATGACCCGTTCACACTGGCTCCTCTGCTAGTACCTAGCCAGGCATGGTTGCATTCGCACGGTTAATACTGGTCAGGAGCCTGCTGGGCGCTCAGCCGTGGGCTGGGCGTGGACTGGCGGCAGGTAGCAGGCAACAGTGCCCTAGGTGCTCACGGTCTTGCCTAGAGACACACAGTAGGTAAAGGATTGCAGATGTGTGGCTGGCTGCGAAGGAGAAGTAGGGACAGCTGGTCACAGTGCTGCAGGAGCTGCCTTAGGGAAGTGAGCTCATCCTTCAACCCCCGCTCCTAAGACCCAAACCTGCACTCTTTCCTGCTCAGCGCTTCAAAGTGCTGTGTGGCCAAACATGTGTCCCCTGCCCTCAAATTGTCCCCCTGGCTTCCTTGCTGTGTCTTTTTTTTTTTTTTTTTTTAAGATTTATCTATTTATTTGAAAGTCAAAGATACAGAAAGAGGATATACAGAGAGAGAGAAACACAGAGAGAGTCTCCCATCTGCCAGCTCACTCCCCAAATGGCCAGCTGGGGCTGGGCCAGGTCAAAGCCAGGAGCCAGGAGTTTCTTCCGGGTCTCGCAGGTGCAGGGGTCCAAGGACTTGGGCCATCTTCTGCTGTTTTCTTGGGCCATAGCTGGGAGCTGGATCAGAAGTGGAGCAGCCGGGACTCCAGGCAGCACCCACACGGGGTGCTAGCCCTGCAGAGGGCAGCTTTACCTGCTGCACCACAGCGCCGGCCCCCCTTGCTGTGTCTTGATACACAGAGCTCTTTCCGGCCCCAGCCTTGGCACACATGCTGTTCCCTAGCCCTGGAATCATCTCTCCCTGGCTCTATGAGTGACTTTTTCTTTTTGTCTCAGATGTCCCTTCTTTACGGGTCCCCTCCCCCATCACTCTGTCATGTCCCCTGCCTAGTACCTAGCCCACAGTCTGAGCTCATAAATGCTGGCTGGCTGACTCTCCTACACCCCCAGGAGACGAGTTTCCTATTTCTGCTGTCACAGATCACTGCAAATTGGGTGGCTTCAAACAGCCCTGCATTACTGTCTTCCATTCTGGAGGTCGGAAGTCTGAAGATCAGGGTGAAGGTTTGGCATAGCCGTTAAGACACAGGTTGGGGCACCTGCATCCCCTGGGGTGCCTGGATTCAAGTCCCAGCTCCATTCCTGACTCCAGCTTCCTGCTAATGTGCACCCTGGGAGGCAGCAGGTGACAGCTCATGTGTTTGGGTCCCTGCCATCCATGTGGAGGACCTGAACTGAGCTCCCAGCCTCAGCCTGGCCCAGCCCCAGCTGTTGCAGGCATCTGGGAAGTGAACCAGCAGAGGGGGGCTGTCTGTCTCTGTCTCTGTCTCTCTGCTTCTCAAATACATAAAATAAAAAGGAGAAGGCAAAGTCTGAACATCTGGCTGCAGGCAGGGAGTGTTCCCCATGGAGTCTCGGGGGGAGAAGCCTCCCCTGCCTCTTCCACCCCAGAGGCTGCCTGCATCCCCTGGCTCCTGCCCCTTCCTCCAGCTTCTCCTCCACGCCCCCTCTTGTAAGTGTCGCTCCCCCTCTTCGTGGAGGAACGACACAGGACCCTGCGCTGTTCTTTCGTCTGCTCGGCCCTCCCCGGGTTTGCTGCTGGTTCTTCCCGGGTTGGCTACTATCCCTTCCACCTCCGTGGAAGGGCAGTTCCCCCTGGCCACATTCCCCACTTCCGCAGGGGAGCGGCACACCGCCGGCCGGCTCTTCTCGGGGGCTGCACAGGTGTTCCCTTAGATGTTCCCCTTAGATGTTCCTGGTGCATGCTGTCTCTCTCCTCCTTTATAGTCCTCCTCCGCCAATCCTAACTCGGCTGCCCACACGCCGAGTACGCTGCTCTCCTCCAATCAGGAGCAAGTCCTACAGTTTATTAGCTGAACTGGAGGCAGCTGTGTAGAAGCTGTTTACTTCTCTCCCAGCGCCATATTGTGGGAGAGCAGATGCATAGAATAAGTCTTAATTCCAGTAACTCAGTCCAGTCCGGATTGCTCCCCACAGTAAGGACCCTTGCGATTACATGGGGTGGGTCCACCCACACAATCCAGCATGACCTGTCCCAGACTCCTTAACTGAATCGCACCAGCCAGGGCCATTATGCCACATAAACTGACGTAGTCTCGGGTTCTGAGGACTTGGCCGTGGGCATCAGTCAGGTCCTTTCACTTGGCCAGCATGCCACTGACCGTGCCCGCCCTCGATCCACAGGATGAGATCGAGGAGCTGCGAGCCGAGATGCTGGAGATGCGAGACGTCTACATGGAGGAGGACGTGTACCAGCTGCAGGAGCTGCGGCAGCAGCTGGACCAGGCCAGCAAGACCTGCCGCATCCTGCAGTACCGGCTGCGCAAGGCCGAGCGCCGCAGCCTTCGTGCGGCCCAGACCGGCCAGGTGGACGGCGAGCTCATCCGCGGCCTGGAGCAGGACGTCAAGGTCAGCCCTGGGGTCTTCCCCAGCCACTGTGGTTGTCTTTGTTGGGGGGCGGTGGAACCACAAGCCTGTGTGGGGCCCGGGTCAGCTCTGTGGCGAGTTATATATAGCACTTATTGTTTAAAGATTTATCTTATGTATTTCAAAGACAGAGTTAGAGAGAGGTAGAGACAGAGAGAGAGAGAGGTCTTCCATCCACTGGTTCACTCCCCAAAAGGCCGCAATGGCTGCAGCTGAGCTGATCCGAAACCAGGAGCCAGGAGCTTCTTCCGGGTCTCCCACACAGGTGCAGGGGTCCAAGGACTTGTGTCATCCTCTGCCAGGCACATTAGCAGGGAGCTGGATAGGAAGTAGAGCAGCCAGGGCTCGAACCCGACACCCGTATGGGATGCTGGCACAGCGGGGCTTTAACCTGCTGCACTGTAGCACCAGCCCCTGTGTACCACTTTTCTGGGCCTCAGTCTGCTTATCTGCAAAGTGAGGATCCCTGGCCAACCAGGGATGCCCCCAAATGATAGCATAACCACTTCCACTGTGTCAGCTGCACGCCTGGTGCTGGGCTCTGAGCTGTCCCCACGCAGTCCCAGGGAGGCGGCTCTGGCAGGCTCAGGGAGGTGGCCTGGAGTTGAGTGAGGCTGGTTCATAGCTGAGTTTGAGTAAGCCACCTGTTTCTCATCGTCTGTGAAATGGGCTCAACGGCAGCCCTGCTTCACAGGGTTCTACGAGGAGTGAGTGAGATAAGGCAGTGCAGTGCTGCTGCAAGCATCCAAACACGCTAGCTGCAGGATCCTTCCAAAAGGTAGTGGAAAATGGAACTAAAAGGTAAGCTCCATGCAAACCCTTGGTGCACAACTTCTGAAGTCCGTGCACGTGAGATCTCCAACCAGTCCCTGAAGAGTGTGCGTTAGAAAAACGAGACGAGGGGTTCAACATTTTCTTGCACCAAAATAAATGTATGTTTTAGTTTCATTTTCCCACACACTCATCCAGTTCCAGGATGAGGAATCCAAGACTCAGAGCAAGGACGTGGGTGCCCAGTGGTGGGTGTCCGACCTCAGGTGCCGCTCTCTGTTCCCTGCCTGTGTGCAGGGCCTGGTCCCTGTTCCCAGAGCTCAGTGCTGTGAGGAGGGGGAAGGCAGGGGCTGGGGCTCCAGGGAGTATTCCTGCTAAGGCCTGATGGATAGAGCCAAGCTTGGGGGGGGGGGGAGCGATGACTCCTGCCAGGGCTCAGGGGAGGGAGCAGGATGGGAGTGAGCCCTCCTCCAGGGATCTGCCCAGTCTTGCTGCTGGAAGCCGCTGGCTGGCAGATCCAAGCCCCGCAGCCCTTCCGCTGGCAGATCCAAGCCCTGCAGCCCTTCTGGTGGAATAGGAAAGAAAACAAAGGTTCCTTACGATGCCCTGGGTGCCCTGAGAGCCGTGGTTTCAGGGGTGTCAGGGCTGGGGAAGCAGCGTGTGTACCTCCATTCAGTGGGAGCTTAGGGCTGGGGTAGACAGGACAGAAAGGGTTAGTGACCTAGTCCAAAGCGCGCCTCTGCCGGAGAGAGCAGCTCCCCCACCGACAGCTGCACGAGCATTCAAATTCTAACCGCTGGCAGACTGTGTGTGTGTGTGTGTGTGTGCTCAGCCAATCTGCACTCTGCTGGAATCTGCCTCTGAGCCTAGGTCATTGAGGATTTCAAGGAAGAACCCAACAACGTCTGAATTAAGAGAATGGAGGTGGCCGGTGCAGGGGGGCCTTGGCTGGGGCCTGGCTGGGAGCCTGGCCTCGGTGGATGGGGCCGAGAGCAGCTGGTGTGGTGGGGAGGGGGCAGTGGCTCTCTGGAGTCTGGGCAGAGGGGAGGAGCCCCTTCTGTTGGGATTTGAACCAGCCAATCGGCGTCCCCCTTGCCTCCCTCCCCTCCTCCTCCCCCCCACAGCTGGAGGCAAGTTCTTCCCAGGGCTGCGCTGGCCCCTGAGTGCTGACTTCGCTGGGCTGGCCTGGGCTCTGATGGTGCGGGACCAGACACGACTGGGGCTACCCTGGCCTCCTCTGCAGCTCCTCAGTCCCCGCCTCGTGGGGCCTCCGCTTGCTCTCCTGTCAGCTGTGAGGCCCAGACATTGGAGCTGCCATGGTTTTGTTGGGCGGTGGGTTATGGGTGAGGGGGTCATGAATGAAACCTCAGGCCTCATTCCACCACCCCTCCCCCAAGCCTCCCGCCCTCTGCTGCTGCTTCTCCAGCCCAGCATGAGGAGGGCAGGGCCAGGGGCAGATGTGGCCTGGGGTCAGCTCCCTCACGGCTCTGAGCTGTGTCCCCGCCATGGGAAAGGCGGCTCCTTAGGTGGCTGCAGAAAGCATCTGGCTCTGGTCCAATCCCAAGGTGACCGATGCGGGTGGCTTCCCTTCCTTCAGCCTCAGCTCCCCCATCTGTAAGTCAGGGGTGACATTTTCACCCCCCAGCCTGGCCAGGGAGGCTTCTTAGTGAGAGTCCCCTCCCCTTCCCGTGGTCCCCCTGCCGGGAGTGGAGCCCAGTGCTGTCAGCAGTGACCTCATGGCTGAGCGCATTTGTTTGTGCTCACACATTTGCTTTGGGGATTTGCTTTGGCTTCCGGAAGCCACAGCTGCCTCGCCTCCCCTTAGCGTCTCAGCCCCAGCGCTTTGGGGGTGGCCATGAAGATCCACCAGGACAGGCACCCGGGGCTCAGCAAGCTCCTGGCGTGGTAAAGCCCACCGCCGGGGCTTGTTAGCAATGCTTTTGCAGTGGATGTTGATGGCGTGTGTCTTTAAGCTGCAGGCTGGTACAGCACGGTCGGGTGGAGAGTAGGTGTGAGGGCTGAGGATTTTAATCTTGGTTCTGTAACTTCCTGGTTGTGTGACCTTGGGCAAGTGGCCTGTCTTTCTGTGCCTCAGAATGGGGATAAGAGCCCAAGCCCTTCCCGAGGGGATGGGCAGCTCGCTGATTCTGTGAATCACCTGTGAGGGTTGAGGGGCCCAGGCCACAGGCACCTACGGCCCCGTGTGGCAGCAGCTGGTGCTCTTTGCTCAGACTGGGGCACAGGGCAGCATGGGGACCTGAGATTGAGGGCTCTTTAGTCCACACTGAATTCTGCAAGCTGCCACCAGGGCTGGGAAGCCATGGAGAAACCATTCAGAATAGAAGGGAAGGCAGCTGGGGGCTGCAGGGGGCGGGCAGGGGTGAAATCCATGGAGTCACTCGTGAGCCCCCAGGAACCCACATGCACCTTGGCAGGGGCTGGCGGGGAGGGCCTGGCCCGGGGTGGTGGTTGGGGGAGCGCGTTTGGGAGAGGAGGCTTGGCTCCTGCAGCCTCCGTGGGAGGACAGTTGAGGAACCAGCATTGAGGGGGGCCATGTGCAGCCCCCTGCATATATCCAGTCATTCATTCATGTCCCTCCGGTCTGCTTGTCAGAGCCTTGGACCTGTCTGATTGTCCAACAGGCATTTATCAGCCACCAACTTGTGTGTGTCAGACCCCAGCTGCTGCTGGCACACCGAGATGAGAATGAGCCCAGGCGTGGTCTGTGGCCTTGACCCCTGTTCCCACCACTCTTGGGGAGCCCGGTGCCCTGGCAGGATGAATGAAAGAGTGAACCAGTGTTCATCGCATAGGCGCTGCCTGCCTGAACTAACAGCCCCCAGACTAGGGACCACAGGCTGGGGTTGGACGTTGCAAAACCCTGGGGTAGGGCCCTGGAGGCACAGGGGGAGCAGTGACCTCAAAGATGTATTAACAGTCCTGTGTTTCCCGAGCCCCTCCTGAGTCACGGCCGCCAGCCCTAGCATCGCACCATCGTTTTACGTCATCACCCTCAGCACGGACCTCAGGAGGCAGCTGTAGCTGCCCCCTTCTCCATAGAGGACGCAGCACGCTCGGCAGGGCCAAAGAAGGTGGCCTGGCCAGGACAGGCTGCAGCCAGGCTCGGGCCTCATGTGCACTCTGCAGAGTCCTCTTCTGATGGAGGGGGATGCTCACCCCACTCGAGAGGCCCAGAGAGGCCATGGGCGGGGCCGGGGAGCAGCCTCTGGCTGTCACTCCACATCTTCAGGGCCAGAGAGGGGCAGTGGGCAAGGGAGCAGGGAGGTGGTGCCCTGTTTCCTTTCTGGCCATTGTTTTTCCGGGCTGCCTTGCACACTGCCAAGGGGTCTCCACGGTGCTGGGCCGGGGCCAGGCAGAGGATCCAGCCAGGGGGAGCCCTCTTCCCTTGCAGCAGGGAGGAGACCCGTGGTCATTTCCGACACTGGCAGGCACGGGTGCTGGGCTGTCTGCCCACAGCCAGCTCCCCCAGGCCTGTAGGAGCAGAGGCCATGCTGGCCTCAGGCACGCCCGGGGCTGCAGCCCAGCCTGCGTGTGTGACCCCCAAGCCCACCATTTCCGCCCTGACCTTCAGCGTCCTTGTCAGTAAAATGGGGACGGGACTGGGTGAAGGTGCACTGGCCTCCCGTGCTCAGCCTGCAGGGCCAGGCCAGAGCGTCCTGCAGGATGGGGGTGCTCTTGCTGCAGACTCTGGGAACCGGGGTGCAGCCTGCAGCTGGGAGCTCTCTCTGTTGGGATGACCGGGACGCCTGCCCAGCCCTGTCGTTTCCAGCCTGTTCTGTGTCCCAGACAACTGGACATGGGGCTCAGGGTCACCTTGTGACCTCATGTCCCTCTGTGGGCTTCAGCCTCTCAAAGCAGCAGCCACCGCTCAGCTGGCACTCCCTACGGCAAGCGTCAGGCCAAGCCCTTTTGAGCTGTAGCTGATTGGTTCCTACTGCTGGGCTTGTGAGGTTGAGCCTGTTGTTACGCGCCCATTTTTTTTTTTTTTTTTAAGATTTTATTTATTTGAGAGGTAGAGTCACAGAATAAGGGAGAGACAGAGAGAAAGGTCTTTCATCCTCTGGTTCACTCCCCAAATGGCCACAACAGCCAAGGCTGGGCTGATCTGAAGCCAGGAGCTTCTTCTGGGTCTCCCATGTGGGATGCACCCAGTTTAAGTTGAAGACTGAGTCACAGAGCTGCTGGCAAGGGACTTCCCAGGGTCGCCTGCTGATCCCTGGCAGAGGGGTGTCATGGCTCCTGGGCCACCCCCTCTGCTCTGGTTTCCACTGCTGTTCAGGCCCCTCCTTGGGGAGGAGCTCCTGGCTCTGGGAAGGGGCTTGGTCAGTGTGGGGCATCCTGGCCACAGACTGGACTCAGAGCTTTCTGGGGGGAACAGATGGGAGCATGGGGTTGCCTGGGTCTGTTGTGTTGGTTCCTGGATACGTGGCTGGCTGTGTGGCCTTGGTGAGCTTCACGACCATTTTGTGCCTCGGTTTCCTTATCTGCTAAGTGGGCGTGAGACAAGAGCCTGCTTCCTGGGCCTTCGGTGGGTGTCCCGGTGCGGGGTCGTCTTCCCGGCTGACCCTGCCCGCTCTGCACTCACCCAGGTCTCCAAGGACATCTCTATGCGGCTGCACAAGGAGCTGGAGGCGGTGGAGAAGAAGCGAGCGCGACTGGAGGAGGAGAACGAGGAGCTCCGGCAGCGACTCATCGAGACTGAGCTGGCCAAACAGGTGCTGCAGACGGAGCTGGAGCGACCCAAAGAGGTGAGGGCCCGACCCACTCTGTCTGTGTGCAGGCGGGAAAGGGGCGTGGCTTGTCGACTTTGCTCACTCCCAGGGACGCCTGTCCTGAGCACCTGCGGTGTACATTGGGTGCTGGACACTAAGGCTGGGTGGCCCACAGCGCAGGGCACATGCCACACGGCACTTTGATGCTGACACCTCTGACACTGGAAAGGCAGGGCCGTGGGGGTGAGCGATTGTACAGGTGAGGAGACCGGGGCCGCTTCCCCGCGTCGGTCTCAGTTTCTCCATCTGTGGCGTCGGCCCCTGTAATAACAAACGTGAGTAAGATGGAGTGGCTGCAGACCACCATGCAGAAGTTAGAGTCAGGTAGCGCCACAGCCCCTCCCCCACGTTCACCGCCGATCACCGCCGATCCAGCAGCCCCAGTCCGGGCACGTGGCCAAACCGTGGAAAGCAGGGACTCGCAGAGACATTTGCACTTCCAGGGTCACACAACGTTATTTCCTAGAGCAGGGGCGGGGAGCATCCGGCCCCAGGCCACAGAAGGCCTGCAGAATCGTTTGGTCTGGCCCTGCATGGCGACCACAGGGGGGGCTCGAGATTCAGTACATCTACGGCAGGATGGTTTTTTCTTTTTTTTTTTCCAAAGATTAATTTATTTATTTGAAAGGCAGAATTATGGAGAGGCAGAGAGAAAGAGGGAGAGGGAGAGGGAGAGGGAGAGGGAGTCGGAGAGGGAGTGGGAGAGGGAGAGGGAGAGGGAGAGGTCTTCCATCCACTGATTCACTCCCCAGATGGCCACAATGCCAGAGCTGCATTGATCTGAAGCCAGGAGCCAGGAGCTTCTTCCCGGTCTCCCACGTGGGTGCAGGGGCCCAAGGACTTGGACCATCTTCTGCTGCTTTCCCAGGCCATAGCAGAGAGCTGGATTGGAAGTGGAGCAGCTGGGACTTGAACTGGCGCCTGTGTGGGATGCTGGTATCACAGGCAGCAGCTTTACCTGCTATGCCATGATGCTGGCCCCATCGCATAGATTTTTAAGCTGACCATTTGGTATGGCTATAGGTGATGTTATAAATATTCAAACGGCCAGAAGCAAAGTTCCCCACCCTAGATGGATGCAGGGTTTCCACTGAGGAGGGTGAAAGGATTCTGCAGGTGTGTGGTGTGGATGGTTGCCTAACACTGAATATAGCTAATGCCACCCAGTGCCTAAAAATGGCTAAAATGGGGGCCGGCACCGTGGCTCACTTGGTTAATCCTCCACCTGCAGCACCAGCATCCCATATGAGTGCCAGGTTCTAGTCCCGGCTGCTCCTCTTCCAGTCCAGCTCTCTGCTGTGGCCCAGGAGGGCAGTGGAGGATGGCCCAAGTGCTTGGGCCCTGTACCCGCATGGGAGACCAGGAGGAAGCACCTGGCTCCTAGCTTTGGATCGGTGCAGTGCCGGCCGTAGAGGCCATTTGGGGGGTAAACCAATGGAAGGAAGAGCTTTCTCTCTGTCTCTCTCTCTCACTGTCTGTAACTCTGTCAAATAAATTTTAAAAAATGGCTAAAATGTACATTTTGTATTCATATGTTACCTCAAGAAAACATGGTTAACTGGTAAGTTTTATACTAAGTATCCTTTACTACATTCAGATAAAATGGAAGCAGATGTAAGTGCATAGAATGAACTCCAAGATACTTTGTTTCTTTAAAGATTTATTTGTTGATTTGAAAGGCAGAGTTACAGAGAGAGGTAGAGACAGAGAGATCTTCCATCCATTGTTTTATTCCCCAAATGGCTGCAACGGCTGGAGCTGCACCTATCCAAAGCCAGGGGCCAGGAGCTTCTTCCAGGTCTCCCACGTGGGTGCAGAGGCCCAAGGACTTGGGCCATCTTCTGCTTTCCCAGGCCATAGCAGAGAGCTGGATCGGAAGTGGAGCAGCCAGGTCTCGAACTGGCACCCATATGGGATGCCAGCACTGCAGGCAGCAACTTTACCCACTACGCCACAGCGCCAGCCTCTCCAAGATACATTTTGAAGCAGGAAAGGGAGGTTTTAGAGCAATGCATGCTGCATGCCGCACAGCACAGAGGATTCAGAGCCTGTGTGTGGGTGTCATTGCACAGCCACGGGCTGGAGGAAGCCGTGGCGGCCTGTGGGACAAGGAGTGGCCGCAGCAGGGCAGAGACCGGCTTGCACTTTGTGTCTATTAATGCTGTGTTTAGGGAGTTTCTGAACAATAAGAATGCACTTGGATGTCATTTGTGAGATTTTGGGTTTTAGATGGAGGGGCAGGCGTGGCAGCACAGCGGGCTTGGCAGCCACTTGGGATGCCATTCTCATCAGCCAGTGGGCATTGGGTCGGTCCACTCTGCAGCCGCTGGGAACCGTGCTGCTGTGAGCGTCCGTTCATGTAGGCGTTTCTGTGTCGCTCAGAGTCAAATTGCTGTAGCTAGGTGAGTGCCTGGGCTTGAGGCCCTCCTCTCCTGCTACTGCACACCCTGGGTGGCAGCAGGTGATGGCCCGAGTGGTTGAATCCCTGCCACCCACCTGGGAGACTGAGGTGGGAGTCCAGGCCCTGTCTTTGGGCTGGCCCAACCTCAGCTGTTGCAGGCATTTGGGGAGTGAACCAGCAGATGGGCGGTATCTATGTGTCACTCTGCCCTTCAGATAAATAAAAACAAATGAGCCTTCAAACAGGAGCCCCCGTAGTGCCGGGCACAATCGGCGCTCAGGAGACACCAGGGTCGCACCCTGTGAGGTCAGCGAGGCTACTCTGGCCTTCCTGTGTTGGGGTCATGGGCAGGAGATGGGGGGGGCCTGTGTTTATTTGTGGTTTGTCCTCTCCCTCCTTCCTCTTCTTCCTGACATGGTTTCTATGGAGACGAGGGTCCCTTAGCAGTCCCGTTGCTCTGCCTCTGCCATCCTGACGGGTTGCCAAGGTGATGCTGTCACCCGGCTGGGAACAGGAGCCCCTGGCCGGAGCTGATGCAGTTGCCAGGGAGATGGGTCTAGGCGAGATAGACAAGAGCGGCCAGTCCTAGCCGTCCTCTGTGGTGGCCCAGCTGGGCTTAGCTCAGACGTGGGACACCAGCCTGCCCCTCCGGCATCACTCGCTCTATGCGTTTTAGGCAGAAAGCCAGGGTCAGTGTTGACAGGGCTTCTCACGATCAGGCGCTGTGTCCGAGGCCCCCTCGGCACCAGGCGCGCCCCACGCGTGGCACACGCACCCTCACGCTGTCTAACCTTCCCGGGACACTGTGTCATGCTCTCTGTTTTGTGGGTGCTCTTCTTTTCTCAGCATTTTTTTTCCTCTTTCTATTCCTTTTTTTAATACTGTATTTTTATTTTGCTGTTACTTGACGCATAACAATTGTGCTTATTTATGGTGTACAGCACAATATTTTAATACATGTGGACAGCAAGGCTCACATCAGGGCATATCTGTCACATCGTTCAAAGCCCACTCTCCTCGCCACGTGGAAATACACAGGAAATTATTGTGTGGTGCATCACTCCCTTGCTGTGCAGCAGAACCCTGGCGCATGTTCCTCCTGGGTCAGTTTGAACCCAGTCTTGCGGTTTTTAAATCACAGTTTAATCCGCATGCCATGCATTTTTCCATTTTAAAGTGTGCAATTCAATGACTTTTTAATATATTCTGATGTAGCGCAGCCCTCACCATGATCTAATTCCAGAACATTTCCGTTGCCCCAGAAAGGAACCTCGCCCTGTTAGCGGCCCAGCCCGCCCCCTCTGCCCTCAAGCCCCTGGCTGCCACTAATCCACTTGCTGTCCGTGTGGATTTGCCTGCCCCGGGCATTTCATTCCAGCCCAGTCACCAGTACGTGCTTGTTGGTAACTGGTTCCTTTCACTCAAGGCTCAGCCACCCATGTTGGGGCCATGTCAGGACTTCATTGCTTTTTATGGCTGAATAACGATCCATTGTGTGTATAGACCCTGTTCTGTTTGTTCAGTCGTCAGCCCGCGGGCATGTGGGCCAGTGCACTTTGCAGCTGCGGTGCGTGGTGCTGCTGTGGGTGCGGGTGCGTGCGTGTCTGTGACGATGTGTGTTAAGCTCTCTTGGGGGTAGAGCCCCTAGCCGAGTTGCTGTCGATAGATGGGACTGGGAAAGGACAACAAGGCGACTCTCTTCCAGAGCCACACTGGCCCTCATGGTGGTGCCCCTGCCCTCCTTGCCCTACCCAGGGCTTCCCTAGGACCCTGTTGTGTCCTGGTTCTTTCAGGGGCTGCTCATGCCGATGAGCCCCTCCCTCTTGATAGGCTTCCCCCCTTGTGGGGGAGGAAGGTGCTGACGTTGGCTCAGATCCCAGTTCTGCTGGCATCCCCTGTGGTCTAGCCCTGGTCTGTATGGTGCAGGACGAGCCAATCTTGGAGCTGCAGTAGGCCTCGGTTGACTGGCTGGTTTTGAAAGGCAGACAAGCAAATGCACAGATCTTCCATCTGCTTGTTCACTCCTCAAATACCCACAACAGCTGTGGCTGGGCCGGGGGGAGCCAGGAGCCTAGACCTCAACCCAGGTGTCCCACCCTGGGAAGTGGGGACCCAAGTGCTTGAGACACCACCTCCTGCCTCGCGGGGTGCACATCAGCAGGAAGCTGGATCAGAGCGGGCCTGGACTCACACCCAGACTCTCTGATATGAGATGCGGGCATCCCCCACGTGGTGTCTTGACCAATGCACCAAATGCCCATCCCGGGCCTGGGTCTGAACCCTGCCCCCCCCCCCTTGCAGATGACCCTGGTGCTCAGGTTGGGTATAAGTGGAAATAGTAATGCCACTGAAGGGCTTGGAAAATATTTGCCCTTGTCCCATCACAACCCTGTTCAGCTGCTGGCCTCCAGGAGTGTTGCCATAGTTACTGTGTTCCTGCTGCCCCCTGGAGGAGCTCTCCCTGGAGAGCAGCTCTGGCAAAACCGTCCCTGTGCCACTTGGTTTAGGGCTCGTGTCCAAGCAGCTCTTTATTCCTTACTCACAAAGGGTCTCCCCCAGCCGGCAGCTCCACGGC